GAGAGTATAAAATCAACAGCATGAAAGCCACGGTGCAGTCTCCTGTTGCAGAGCATCCGGGTCAACAGAATGGGAGATGGAAAATCGATTTAGTTGGACTGAGTGCTAGCATTACGGAGGATGATATCGCTTCTGCCTTTCCTTCGTTTGAAAAGCCTTGTCTGATTACTATTGGAGATCTGAGTTATGACATGGACATAGAAATGGATTCGACTTTGGTCAAGTCCATGCTATACGAGAAAGGCGAGTTGGAAAAATGGAACGTTTCTGACAGTTCTACCGCCAAACGGATCAAAGCCCATGCAACCTTTATGGAAGAATGCCATGCACAAGTTGCCGCCTCTTCTCTCGATGGAACAGAGTTACCATTCAACCATACCGGCAAGCTTTTCGTCCAACTCATTACTTCCGTCAAATTCAAGGTATCAGCCCGCGTTTACGATGCCGTGAAGAAGACAATTGATTCACACAAATCCAATTGGAATCGGCAGTTCATACGTTATTCCGCCCTACCTGAGCGCGGATTTAACCGAATCCTGAAGATCGAGGGTCAAGATCGTCAGCTAGTCGCCCAGGCCAAAAGAGCTTTAGAAAAAATCATTACTGGCACTGTTTTGACGATGGACGGAAAGAATATTTGGTACTCTAACCTCAAGATCAGCAAGAATGCTTACAAGAAGCTTCAGAAAATCGAGCGAGACCTTGAGGTCGTTATCATTCACGATATACGAGCCTCGAACTTCCGGGCTTTTGGCCCTGAGGATCGTTTAGCACAAGCTGCTGAAGCCCTGCAGCAACTCATCAACGAATTAAAAGCAGGCGACCCTGCCATCAAGACAGCAGTTTCTTCAGTCAAAAGGCAACAACTTGATACAGATTGCCCGATCTGCTTTGATGAAGCCGAAGGACCATTGGAGACCTCCTGTGGCCATATCTATTGCAGTCTTTGCTTTTTCAACATGTGTCAAGCAGAAGCATCAACGTCGAGTGATTTCTCAATCAGCTGTATGGGGAACTCTGGAACCTGCGGAAAGATCATCCAAATCTCAGAGCTTCAGACACTCATTCTCTCCGAAACCTTCGAGAACATCCTTGAGGCTTCTTTTGCCTCATTCATACGAAGTCGTCCAGCTGAATTTCGGTATTGCCCGACGCCGGATTGCGATCAAGTCTACCGAGTCTCTTCCTCGGGAAAGCTTCCATCCACGTTTACATGTGCCAGATGCTTTACTCCTACTTGTACGGCCTGTCACGATTCACACCTAGGAATATCCTGTGCAAAGCATAAAGGCGATAGTTCTGAGGATATCGAGGAGCTCATCAAAGCTAAGGAGGATCTAGGTGCGAAAGATTGTCCCAAATGCACTACAGCTCTCCAGAAAGCCGAGGGATGTAACCATATGACTTGTCTAGCTTGTGGAACGCACATCTGCTGGGTGTGTATGGCAACATTCACAGAAGGGAGTGATTGCTACAGACACATGGGTCAGTTTCATGGCAGCTTTGTGTAGTATACTCTACTCTATATTATTACTCTAGTTCGGTTATGCGAGAAGTTTTTGGCACTCAGAAGATATAGCGAACTAACAAGTCTGAGTGTCTTGTTCTTTGAAATGTCGTTAGCTCAAAGGATGTCATGGAGCAATTCGGCCATGGTAGGCCCCCAACACCCTTTGTTGATCAGAACAATTTTTGCAATAGTAGCTACTGGACTCCCTACGAATGATGCCAATCGTTTACCATGGCCAGGGATTTGTGATGTGTCAAGTAGGATGTATGCTGTTACGGTGAGCCAAGGGTTGAAAACACAATAATCTGATGCATATTAGATAAACAAGTGTCAACTACTTAATTCTAATCATTTCCACTTGCCAAATTTGAGGGAGGCTGCTTATTGACATGATTTCTTCCAGGTATGCATGGCTTATAAACGACAGTGACCGTTACCCCTCTTCAGCAAGCAAGAGACGTACGCTTCACCAAGTATGACCATAATCTGACCACGTTCAACAGTTTCAGCGAGAACGCGACCAAAAAAGCCAGAAAGTGTCTGTATCCTGGCAACTTCGATGACTTCATACGCCTGTTGAAAATTGCCGTAAGAGTTGATGACATTGCTTTGATATTCAACAAATCATTAGGGAGAGGACATTGATCATCCCCTTTCACACTATGCATGACTCTCGTAACGAAGGGAGGGATATCGTCGAACTCTGGTAAAAGTTGATTTGCTTCGGCCAGGCTGTCTCACGAAAAAGTAGCCGTTAAGGAATCATTCAATAGTCCGGCAGTGTATGCTCCCAAAAGATATTTGCCAAGTTGTTCCAGTCACTGTTCGAGACTCTTAACGAGTCCGAATTCCCCACGATCATGGCTGAAGGACAAGGTGGCATCTACTTTGTCCACCAAATGACCGTCAACAAACAGGATCCGATCGTGGATAATTGGATTTCCGCGCAGACATCGACAAGATTCAGGATTACTAAACTCAACAGCCTCCCCACAAAGCTTCATCGTCCATTCAGGTTTCCAGGAGGTAAGAGACGTCATTGATCTCCGGCTCATCAGCACCTTGTTTGACCACAGGTAGAGGTCTCTCCGTAGTCGAATGGTGTTACAACTGGCTTTATAGAAGACTTCCTCAGTTGAATTGTTATAGTCTGGCACAATTTCTACACACAGTGACTGGTGTTTGACTAGTCCAAGAGGTTGTGAGCTAGAAGTGTTATTTGCCGCTGAGACCCGTGGCTGAGAGCTTAATCTAGCCGAGAGAAACTAGACTAGTCCAAGAGAAGCATAGATCTTTTCACGAGGATTGGTTTGTTTCGATGTGAAACTGGTTAACACAATGCCCAAATCAAGACACTCATAGTTCGGCTCGTCCGTGTGTTTTTTTTTTGGTCTCGCAACCGGCATCCCGAACATAAGGGATGAGGGACGCTGTATTGTCGGTGCCGTGATTTCTGAGGCGCTAGGACGCCAACCTCGCTCTAATCTCATAGGCCGTCCGGAAAATATCCCAAGGCAGGTTGAAAGGGCCACATACAACGTAAATTATCTCGGCAACAGCAACTTTCTAGATGATACAAAATCGTTGAAAGTAGGAATCGAAAAATAGCCGGTCTATAGCATCCCAAGCTGTTTCATCATGAGATTTGAAAAGGCTTTAGTCATCAAGCTCAGGCTGTCTTTCAATGATCTGCCAGAAAACTGGATCTCTATTGTGGTAGAAGAATATATAATCCCCGGGACTTCTGATAATGGAGCCTTGTTTCGGGCGCTGGGTAATAATTGTAGCTATCAGGTCTTCTATCTTCAGTGTATCTGATTTTCCCGTGGGATGGCGTTCGATTCTAACCCAGCTGAGGTATGGAAAAGTCTGAAATGCTTCTATGGCCCTGGGGAGATCGTGTCCGGGCCAATTGAGAACAGCTTTGGCGGAGGCGTAAATCTCGCGTATGAGATGGATTTGCTTCGATACCTCTTCCTAATAATCTTGGTTTATACAGACTGCGTCGACCCAGAGAACTCTAACTTGAGAGGGAAATCGAAAGGCGCCTAGTGCCGATGCAAGACTTCGTGTGACAGGGAGAGAAATGTGTTTAAATATTATACTTACCCTGCCCTCAGCTTCCTTCCACTCGTAGGAGAGAGTCTCAAATTTAGGTGGCATACCAAGCTTCACGCGCTGCAAACGGCGTCTAATATGATCCCAGCTTGACCGGCATGTAACGCCATGAGCCGAATCTGGCGACCGTTGAGAAGTTTTGTATACATGATGCTCGCTATTCAAATATCACGATGTTGACAGTAAAAGGTGGAGGGGGTCAAACCTCAAATTGAGAACACGCTGCGAGCTGGGTGCCTCTGTAAGCATGTCGGGATGAGTTGCGAGAACATTCTTCTTCTGCAGCCTGACAGTTCAGCTACTGTAACATTGAGAGTGTGGCTGAGCTAACAGTCCATCTTGGCGGCAGACTGAGCTGCGGTCTGCCTTGATCGATAGTGACAATTATACGACAATTATGCCCTGCGCGCCAGCTGCTCCCAACTGCGGGGATATCAGAAATTACTATAACACCATTCAGCAAACTGGCCCAAAACTCTGCACAATACCGGCCGGCTTGGACAACTCTTAAAGCTTCTAGAGGAAAGAGAAAACAACCTTGGCCCATTTCCGTTCTCTATTATGATTTTAAACTCCGATAAACCCTGTTGCTCGACCAGTTGCAGCCACAACAACCCTTTTGATGGGGGGTAAGCAAGCCTCGGGGGGAAATATTAAACGACCCCAAATGCACCAAAATTGGCTGGTGTTCTATCCATCGAGGGGTCGTTTTTTATTTCCCCCCTGAGCAAGGCAGACTTCCGACGCAATGCTACTCCGCAGTTAATATTCCACGTAACTAATCAGCTGACCCTAGCCACTAAACCATTGCTGTCTCGGTGGGATGGGCTTCAATACTTCTAGATCCACATCGCCGATCAATTTTATAGAGTCCACAGGGCCGTCAGGCACGTAATTATGATTAGGAAACTGTCAACAAAAAACCAAGCATAAAATAAACATTTAGTTGTAAAAATATATATTCGGTATAGTAACTTACTTTGTTACACAGGCAGGATAAAGATGCAAAACAAACACTAAGCGACATATGCACTTAGGCCCTGTCATGACTGTTTATTGCGACAGGGTTGCCTAATCCCCCCGCTCACCTCAGCCGCAGTGCCTTCTCTCATGGGATGAAATATTGCCTCGATTCTCCCAGTTTAACGCTTTCTGAAGTCTTAGTAATAAACTTTATACTATTTTCGTATTTTCTGAACGAGCTCTTCTGCCCACCACGACTTTTGGATTGCCGCTGAGCTGAGTACTCGCTATCATCGTCGACTTGACCAACTCCATAACGATACCCCGCTTCTAGCGCTGTTCTAGCTCGATCGAGACAGTTGCCTACAAACTGACCAACGAACCCTTCGCCTGTGCTCGTCTCGCTACAATGTCCGAGCCATCCATAGAAAACTACACGATTGGTTGGATTTGTGCCCTGCAGGAGGAATTTGAAGCGGCATGCCGCATGCTCGACGAGGAATTCGAGGGTCCAGAAACAAGCCACATAAATGATAAAAATACCTACGTGTTTGGTCGCATCGGTGAACGCACCCGCGAACACAATGTGGTCATTGGATGTCTCCCTGATGGGCGATGCGGTATTGGGTCGGCCGCAGTTGTCTCTCAGGACATGGTCAGGTCGTTTCCTAGCTTGAAGTTCGCTTTGATGGTTGGCATCGGGGGAGGTGCTCCGACGCCAGACAGAGACATTCGCCTCGGAGATGTGGTTGTCAGCAGACCACAAGGCAATCTAGGAGGAGTGATACAATACGACTATGGGAAGAGGCTGTCGAATGGTCAATTCCAGCAGACGGGCCAGTTGAACTCTCCTCCACCGGTGCTGCTGGGAGCGATTCCTGAGATGAAACGCCGACATAACGACCCTAAGAAGCCAGATAGGATACTGGAACACCTCAGGCTAATGGACGATATGCCCGAATATAAACGCCCTGCCGAAGATCGACTATACCGTGCCGACTATCAACATAGTGGTGGAATAACCTGCGAGAATTGTGCGGCAAACGGGCTTGAGGTGCGACCACCGCGGGAGACCAAACGAGCAATCACTGTACACTATGGCATCATTGCATCTGCAAATTCCGTTATGAAGAACGCCGAGGAAAGGGACATATATGCTCGAGATCCAGACTTGAAGGTCTTATGCTTTGAGATGGAAGCCGCCGGTTTGATGAACCACTTTCCGACTCTAGTGATTCGAGGAATCTCTGATTATTCGGATTCGCACAAGAACAACGAGTGGCACAGATTTGCAGCACTCGCAGCGGCTGCTTACGCGAGAGAGATTCTTCATGTTCTAAAACCGACTAAGGTGACAGCACTTCCATCATGGGCCGGCCAATACAAACAGAGTAAGTAGCACCATTACACAATACAAGATATCATTTGAGCTGTTTAACGAAAATATCTCTAAACTAAACCTGTAAACGACACGGTTGGACTGTAGCATTCAAGAAGCCGGAAACACAAGAAGGAGAGAAGACTGAGGTCCATGACACATACACTATAAACTACATGAAAATATATCTGTATGCAGCCATATGCTAATATATTGCAGTATTGGAGACTTTGGATACGAAGGTCAACAAGATTTCAAGTGGGGTTCAAGACATGCGATCGCGGCAACTCGATCAAGATCATCAAGTCATCTTCGATTGGATTACTCCTTTTAACTACGGCAGTCAACAGAGTGACTACTTCAAGAAAAGTCAACAAGGAACTACCCAATGGTTTTTAGAGTCGGCAAAGTATCAGTCCTGGCTAGATACAAATGGCAAGACACTGTTCTGTCCGGGCATTCCAGGGGCTGGAAAGACGACATTATCGTCCATCATAATTAACGATCTCCACACGCGATTCTCTGACAACCCTGATATTGGGATCGGTTATATTTACTGCAACTTTCGGCAGGAGGAAGAGCAAACGATTGACTATCTTTTAGCGATTCTGGTTAAGCAACTAAGCCGGAGCCGGCATTACCTGCCAGAGAGTGTTAACTCTCTTCATGGCAAGCACAAGAAGAATGCGACACGTCCATTAGCCAAGGAATTATCGGCGACCTTACAAGATTTGATTGGGTTATATACAAAGGTTTTCATTATCGTCGACGGTCTTGACGAATGTCGCGCACTTGATGCACTTTTGTCTGAAATCTTTAGACTCCAAGACGGGTCCATGATAAATCTTTTAGCAACGTCAAGGCCCATTGCCGACATCACCAAGGCTTTTCGACAGACTCCATGTCTTGCAATCCGCGCGACCAAGGATGATGTCATCCTGTATGTCGAGAGACACATAGGAATGCTGCGGCCAGTCGTCACAACCAAACCGCGGCTTCAGGAACTGATCAAGACAGTAGTATCAGACGCCGCGGACGGAATGTAGGGACCCAGTGAAAAGCCATGCCTAGATTATTGCTGATGAAAGTCTAGGTTTCTCCTGGCCCATATTTACCTTCACTTCTTCAGTGACAAGCTGACGGAGAACGACGTTAGAAGCGCCTTGAAAGAGATCCAGAAGCAAAAGCAGGCATCTGGAGGTAACAAGCACAAATTGCTATCGAGTGCCTATGATACAATGATGGAGAGAATCAACAGACAAAAACTAGGCTTGCGAGAGCTCGCGATCCAGGTTCTCTCGTGGATTACTTACACCAAGCGACAGCTTACGATAATAGAGCTTCAGCATGCCCTAGCCACCAAACAGGGCAACAGAACGCTAGAGTCTGGAGATATAGTGCCCGTTGATGACATAGTCTCAGTATGTACTGGATTAGTCACAGTGGACCGAAGAAGCGATATCATTCGACCCAGTCACTACACTACGCAACAATATCTTCGTGATAAACTGAAGGAATTATCTCCAAACGCTGAGTATAGCATTATGACAACTTGCTTGACGTACTTATCATTTGACGTCTTCAAAGGCGGCTTCTGTCGAACGGATGAAGACTTTGAAGAGCGGATGAGGTTGAACCCGTTCTACCACTACTCTTCATGCTATTGGGGCAGCCATGCTTATGACATCAAAACTTTGAGTCGAGCAGCCATTGACTTTCTCGAATCCACTACAAGAGTAGAGTCATCGGTACAAGCCCTGATGACTCCAAATCTTGCAGGGGCGCTATGGAACCCAGGATATAGTCAAAAGGTTCCAAGGCAACTGTCTGGACTGCATTTGACGGCTTTTTTTGGACTCGAGGACGGCGTGCATGTCTTTGGGTCTAGCTGCTGTACCTTGAACGCGAGGGATAGTGATGGTAGGACTGCGTTGTCCTATGCAGCAGAGAAAGGGCACGAGAGAGTCGTCAAACTGTTTCTCGACAAAGTTGGCCTCGAGATTGATTCTAACGATAAGTGTGACCGAACGCCGCTGTGGTGGGCCGCCATACGAGGGCATGAGGCGATCGTCAAGCTACTTCTTGATACGGGAAAAGTCGATGTTGATGCTCAAGATCGAAAAGGTCGGTCACCGCTCCGATGCTCCGTTGACCATGGTCATAAAGCTATTGTCAACTTACTTCACGATGTGGGAAAATGCGACCCAAATGTTCAAGATGAATTGGGCCAAACAGCACTCTGTTGGGCTGCCAAACGAGGCCAGGCAGCCATGGTCAAACTGCTCCTCAATATGAGTGACGTAGATGTCGATTCTGAAGATGATTTTGGTCGAACACCGCTGTGGTTGGCTGTCGAGAAAGGACACGATACTATCGTCGAGATGCTTCTGGATGCAGGACAAGCCGATGTTAATACTACAGCCGATGATAGTAGCCAAACAATATTCTCGTGGGCCTCCATGCATGGACGAGAATCTATTGTTAAGCTGCTACTTCGTACGGGAAAGGTCCACGTCGATACTAGAGATGCTCACTATAGCCGTACGCCGCTCTCATGGGCTGCCATGCGTGGGCACAAGGCTATCGTGGAACTTCTTCTCAGTCTCAAAGGGGTTGACGCTGATGCTCAAGATTCTACTCATCGAACCCCGCTTTCGCTGGCTGCTGAAAAAGGGCATGAGGCTATTGTGCATCTACTTCTCAATACTGGAAGAGTCAATTTGGAGGCTAGGGATAATCTTTTCGGTCAGACGCCGCTTGATTTTGCTATTGAGCAAAATCGCACGGCCATTATCAATAAGCTTCGTAACTACTAAGGGGCAACTAGCAGCTCAGTAGACTTATATTAAAATATCTCAAAAAAGGTTTAGATTCTATATATCTTCTTATAACCTTAATAATACTTAAGAACTAGTATGTTTAATACCGAAGTCAGTTAGCTTAACCTCTATCTTAAACTCTTATTTTATAAGGTTTATATAAAGCTTAAATTAGGCCTAAAGTAGCTATAATTTTAGTGGCTTATATATATATCTATCTTAAATTAAGCTATATTTATATTTTTAAGAATTTTATAAGAACAAAACCTATTTATGCCATATAATATAATATCTAAGCCTTGCTATATAAAATAACGTTTTTCTAATTTTTAAATAAAATTATTCTATCGCAATTAGAGAAGACTAGGTGTTCCCCTTTCTGCCTTCTATTGGAATCGAAAGCGGCTCCCAAAACGGGTCAAGCACCTCGAGAGGCATTACAAGCGTGACAATTCCAACAGGTGAGAAGGACAAGAACGAAGACGTGGATCAGCTGGGATGCGTGAGTTATTATTACTTTTGTCTATATGTAGGTCAAGTCAAAGCCTTTGTAACTAACACAATACGATCTTCCTTGTGACCAAGGTTCCTGCGCCTCATTACGGGCGTTCTCACCAGCAGGGCGTCACTGCAAAGCAACAGCATCGCGTCGCCAACACTAAATTAACAGCCACGAGATGTCTGCATCCTCATCATGGCGGGGTGATTGCCTCTAGTGGCTGGTGAGCCGTTCCGGGCATGGTCTCTAACCGCCAACTGTTCGAGTAGTCGAGTGGCCAAGACTCGATGCTTCACTCGATGGCTCGACTTCGCGGGCTCGAGCGGGGAGACCAGGCGGTGGCGAAGCTTTATTTGTAGCTTTATTGCTTTTTGCGCCAATGTCGATGGTCGGGCCATAGGATGATGATACCTCCAGGTTCAATAATGAACGAACCTGTCCGGGAGAAGTAGGAATGCGCCGCGGCATCATCTTCAATGATTCAAGTCAGATTATATATGCCCGACAGTCTTCATCCTGCTGACAATTCCCCTTCTGCAGTTGGCGATTCCTGACCCCTCCCGAACTTCAAGTAGCATGAAGAGTTGTCAACCTCGGGTGTAGGTTGTTGTGCGATAGGAGACTCGGGAGATGACAACGAGCCAGGTTGTCCCTGTGTATTTTTTCTTTCGGTAGGTGAGGGTGTTTGTGGAGGACTGTATGAAGCTTGCGGCTTGAACGATGGCCGAATTCGTCGCTTTGGTCGAGCGGTGGTTGTGTCGCTGGGTTTGGCGACCTTGCGTTGGGGCTGATCTTGCTCGTCCTCTGTTTGGCGCTTTCGCTTCTGGTTCTTGGCCTGATGCAAAGCCGCGTCTGCTTCAGTGGTATTGCTGGAAGGCGTGATAGCATGATCGTGCAGCGCCGGCTTGGTGCTGTTCGATTCGGCTGCGCTGGCTTCGGGGTTTTCCGCCCTCGCCTGGCGTCTTTGCGCTCTTCGTTCTCGTCGCTCTTGTCGCCGAGCTTCAACAGCGATAATGTCTATACCAATTTTGGCATACATGCGCACCCTGACCTGACGTATCGATTCCCGCATGCCTTCGCTGACTTCATCGTCGGTGTCGTTGTCGGAGCAGCTCATCTCGACCGCTGACTCATAAAAGGGCGAGCGCTGCAGGCATTTGGGTACTGGGTTGGGTTCGATGGCGTGAAGAAGTCGATCGAGTTGCTCGAGGAAGTCGGGGTCAGGTGTGGCGAAGCACATGGGTAGAGTAGGCGTTGATGGAAACGTCACCAATTTGGCGCCGAATGTCGGGACTGGGTCATCGAGGGGCTTGAGACAGTATGAGTACAGTTCGAGCCGTAATTGAACATGCTGGTATACTTACCCCGTAATTCTTTTCGTAGCTATCGGCCAGGCATTGCCGCCAGCCGCGTTTTCTCTGTCCTGGGAACATTTGCGGCGCTGACCGATTGATGGTGTTGGAGTGAGAAACAAAACGCCTGATGCCAAGTTGACGCGTCGAGGGCGGAAGAACAAAGGCCCGCTGATGACGCTTTGTCCGAGGTGGCGCACCATTGGCCACATCCTTCATCTTAAGATACTCTACCAGCCTACCTACCCTGCACTCACCAGGTCAAGAGTCATTTACCCCACCAACATCATTTATTTCCAGCCCAAGCCAAGCTCATCTAGACAACTTGAAGTTATGGACGTCTCAGATATTCCAAGCAGCCAAGAGACGGTAGAAGATCCCACTTTACCAGGCTGCTCTGCTGAGGGGGCTACTATCATTCTAACACCAGAAAACGCTGAGGCGCGGCTGGTGTTTCATGAGGTTGCTGAATGGCTGCAGATACAAAGCGATGACCCTCCCGTTCAGGCTGCAAAGCAACACACGCGAAAATGCATGTGGATTTCCTCAAAGCAGCAAAATGATCATGAAGTCGGCCGGTTATTCAGAGCAGCATCGGAAAATCTCTCATCATCATCACCGATCTCGTCGCCGCGGGATCCAAGATCATCATTCCTCCCACAAGACGAGAGCGAAGAGGAGTTTAGAACCTGGAAAGGCCACTACTTCATATCGCTCGATATACCCCCTCGAAATCCTTCAAGAGGATGGGTGATAGGGTCTTTAAGAGATGGCCCTCATTTAAACGATATCGTCCTTTGTTTACGGTCTGGCAACAACAAGATATACAAAGTTCAACGCAATCAAGCTATTTTCCAAATCGATGAAACAAGCTTCGTATATGTGCAGCCAATGACCGACAGATCCACCACCATGGTGAATGGGGATAAGATCTCTAGGAAGAGAGTTTTCAACCAGTCATCTGCTCGGCTAGCCTTTGGCTCTCTTTGCTACCGCATCCAGTACGCTCGAGGGTCCTACGCCGACGACTACCCCAGCAGAGTCAAGGATTACTTGGATGAGCACCTCAAGATACACACCAGTCTGCTGGAGCTATCACTGACACCAACACCATCTGAAAGCAACCCCATCACCATTGGACAATGGACCGTTAGCGCAGGCACTGTAGGCAAAGGAGCTTCCGGAATGGTTAGCATCGCTTCGAATGACCATGGCCAACGTGTTGCTTTGAAGAGGGTGCAGGTTGGCAGGGACAGAGAGCGCACGCGGAAAGTTCAGACAAAGCTTGAAGCACTCGCCGCATTGTGCCAGAGGAAGAACGAAAACCGTCTACTGCAACTTATCGAAGTTATCACGGATGATGTAAGATCAGCAAATAGGATAGCGGATGTCTGGTTCGTTCAGGAACCAGCTGCTCAGGAGGTACTTTCCACCGCACTTACCAGGGGGCTCTTTAAACAAGGACAAGAAAGGTGAGATCATCGCTAATAGTACAACCACACCGCATGAGCTTATCAACCAGGATATCCATCGTCACAACCGTTCTGGCAGACATACTCGGCGCCACAAACTTCCTCCACAGAAATCGCTGGATACATGGAGATCTCAAACCCGTCAACATTGGCATCCGAACCTGGACCACCGAATGCATATCTCTCGTGCTGCTCGATCTCGATGATGCAGAAGAAAGCCCTTTTCCAGGTAGGCATCACCTCGCTCGGCCTGGAACCGGCGGAACGGTCGGATGGCTAGCTCCCGAACGAGAGATGACGGGATATAACGAGCTGGCTGATATATGGAGTATTGGCGTCATGGCCATCGAGATGATTTCGGGGCGGCATCCGTGGCGACAGGGCAAGAATCCTTGGAGACCAGGCCCTGAAGCTAGTGAGTTGCAGAGAGACTTTCAGGATATGTACGGAGAAGCCGTTGGTGCTTTGGATAAGCTTCATGACGAGGGTACGAACTGACTTCCATTGTGTGAGAGTGGTGCTGATTTCTTGGTAGCTTTGAGGAACGCTGTTCTTGGTATGGTGCGGCATCCATATGCTGAGACGTCGGCCCAGCGACAATCAAGACTTACGGCGAAAGAGGCCCTGAGACTTCTGGGTCGCGCTGACGATGTTGAGAACGCCAGCAAGCGACAGAAATGGCTTTGAGAGAGATGAAGGCTTTCGGGCGCTGTGAATGGGATCCTAGAGACCGTATAACTGAAGAACCTTGACCGCCTCTGCGCAGCTTCATTCATAATATCAACCATCGTGAGAAGAGATCTAAGACCAAACAGCGGTAGTTGTTTCTCAACCTCTTTTCAGAACAACCTGAATTGAACAATTGTGTGCGGTCAAAGTTTATGACTCTTGATGGTATGAAAGGTGATGGAGGCCTGGGAGCGAACGCATCGTTTCACTGGGCAATGGTGTGCTGCGAGGGACAGATGTAATAAAGAAATCTCACTGATGAGCTCATCCATCATTGAAAGCTAGTTCGCAGGTTATGATTGTAACTATGTATTCACTTAGTATAGCGCGTCTCGCAAAGACTACTAATAAGCCATCGTCCTCCCTCCAACCTAAAGGAGCAGACATATACGCCGTGGGAAATTCCAATACCATCACCCTGAACCACGAACGGTGCCCAAACGAAGCCCAGATCGCCACAACGCCGTGTCTCGCAGTCAAGAAGCCGCTCCTCAATTGTAGGTTCATTCTGAGCTGCTTGCCGTAGGTGCTCAATGAGTTCCGACCACATAAATGTCTCCGGTGCATGACCATCTTTCGATAGCGTAGCCCCTGCACCAGGCAAAAGCAGGGCGGGGATGGCCTCCCAATCTTGAGCTTTGATGTTCTTGAGAAAGTCTTGGAATGGAGCGATGATTTCTGACACAGGGCCCGTCTCGACTGACGGCACCGGCTGCTCAGGTGATAGATGCATCATATCAACAAGTGCTGAAATACGCCATGGATTTTCGTAGCTCAGAACGTCGTCAGATTGACGGTGCAAGGTGCAGAGGTGAACGGTGTGGATGAACTCGCCACGACCATCCATGGAGGCTGACCAACCCACGAATACAGCAGCTATGTTTTGAGAGACCCATACATCCGCCGGTGGTTTTGCCAGTTGATGTTTGAAGCCCGTTGGCCCGGACTCTTGTTGTTTGGCGAGCAATCCACTAACGCGCTCATACATATCATCAAAGCTTTCTGTCTTGAGACCACCCATCTCTGGTGGGAAAGGAACAGTTATTAGGCCATGCGGCAGAGCGAAGCGTCCTCCTTCTTTAAATGGGGGCGGGGAACTGAAATACTCGTGAAAGCCACGGACAATATCCAAGACTTGCGCCTGCTCAGTATTAAGCTGTGATAAAGACGACATCCTAACAATTGTCAACAACTACTAGCATCGCAATGGAAGATTTTTATCAGAATTGAGCTGAGAGTCAGTTGCCTTTATGGTATTCATCAACAAGTAAGCTGACAGGATTTGAAGGATTCTTCCTGGCATCGGCGCAGTCAGCTTACTATTACATCTAGCCTACTACTGTACGCCGTCGTGGTGCCATGTCGACGAAATACAACAAATTTGGCCCGTGCACGCTGCGTGACATCCCTAGCACATCCAGTTAGACCGCCCATTCTTATACAGCACCATAGAAATATAGGACGTGCAAATCGGGCTCCCCCCAGGCTTGGGTCCTTGGGGGTCATGTTGGACATTCGCGCGGGCAGTTGACAGAGGCTTTTTACTTTTTTAAAATAGAACTACCACGATATATCTAGCAATATCTATATATATATATGTAAACTAATAGAAAATAAAGCAATTAATTGATCAATTTCTATAGAGCCATTTTTTATCTAGTATTAGCTAAAAATACAAGAAAAGAAAGTATCTAACTCAGTGTCGAGACGAAAGCATGATGGCTGTTTACGAAGTATGGTTACACCCTGACCATGTGCTCTAGAGCTCAAACCAACAAACCTGAAGAGAACAGAACATGGAGAACTGTAGACGGAGCTCTTCCAAGCATGGAGTCCCCCTGATGATTGAGTTCAGACATGTACACATTGACTCGACCTGTAGTGTCGGCCAACTCGAACTTGGACATGTTGATGACCACCAGATGAATTATGATACTGAATAACCAGAACCGTCTGGCTGGAGCTATCTCTACTGCAAGACCCATTTTTGACCGACCTTGTGTAGGTTAACGTGAGATAGCTGCTGATAATGCTTCATCTGTCTCAGTGAATCCAAATCGGTGTCCCCATTCTCCATCCTAGCCTTGTCCACCGCACTGATGGCAAACAATACTGGCACTGCCGAACCTTTCATTACTTCAACCTCTGCTTTCGCTGACTCAACAATAATGCAAATCAGAAGAGAGATAGAGAGAGCAACTTGTACACTTAGAAGCGCCAACCATTCCCACCGAACCTGGACATATACCTCGGTAATTAATGAAACACCATGGACGTTGGACTGATCAGGAAGGAGTCTGTTCGAGCCGGTATTAGGATAGCGCAGCAGATAAAGAAGTAGATGAACTTACGTGTTTGTGAGACTGTTAGCCACGTTCCCCGCCATGCCCTCCAGGGCAGTCCACCAAGCTCTCTCTGCCTCCTGAAATTCAAGCGTGGAATTGCCCTTTGCAAGCTTTTGTAAAACCTCTTTGGTGGCTTGTGCTAAGATGTCACTGCCTGATGTATCACGTCTTGGTTCTCCTGCCAGAACGACAGTGTAGCCAGTTAGCGATTCGTTTAACTGAGCTGCTATTGTGCTCGTAGCTAGCCGACTAATGGTCCATGTGACGTCGTCTTTGCCTGGTAGTTCCAAATTCACGTATCCACGATAATCATCCCCTTGAAATGCGTGCAACTTTGGGATCTGAGACGCCGACTTGTTCATCCGAACGACATTGTCGACTACTTCAGGATGATAAGTGTCAATACACCAATAGTGAGATACCTCGACTGCGCAGGGTACGAGATTATATCCATCCCAATAAATGGCAAAATGATGGAGAATTGATACATTCTGCAAATGCTGATGTACTAGGGTTGGCCCACTGCCAAGGGAAAATGTTGGGGCGCCAGTGAATCTGACACGACTTTTGCCCGGTTCAGTCCAGACACCATTGGGTAGAGTGATATTAGGATTGCCATCGTGGAAATTGACATCCGCCTCGATCAGGTGGGTGACATCTGAGGAAAACCTTAGATATGACGGGCAACCATCTTGGAGGGGTGATATATAACGTACTCGTAACCTCGTATCCTATAGCAAGCGTGCGGAATTCTGGCCATCTGCAGTTGGCTGAGCCACACTTGGGTTCTCTAAAGGGGATCGTTTCGGTCACCAAATTATTGATCCCTCGCCTGGCACCTCTTGCAATTGCTGGCTGGTTCACTATGCGTATTTGTCAGACATTTACCAATCAAATTTTACAGCATGTGCATTATGAGAAGCCAGTGGTAAGAAGTAGGTGACTTACTGAAAGCATAATCCAACTCGTCCTTCCCCCAGTTCTCCCCTAACCTCCATGCCTCTGCACTTCCCTTGCTTCCATCTTGGCCAAATCTAGACGGGTATGTGACAGCAAATTGTGTGATTGTTGATGTGGCAATCGTGGTACTCAAAAGAAATGCAGCGATGATACCAACAACCCTATTTTTGTGAGTAACCGTACGAACTTGGGTATCTGAGAGGCAGAGCTTACCATCCCTTGGTGTGAGAGAGCAAGCTCAAGCTACCACCTAGGCCTCTTGACGCCTTGTCAAATGCTTCGAAGTCCTTGAGCGGTCGTGGCTGCTTGAACCAAACCCATTTGGCTTGTGCTAAACCTTCTGTTACAGGAATAAGTAGTGCGGATCTGCATATGGTGGCTATGCAAGCTAGAACTGTATTCAAAGTGATACCGGATGGCCAATCGGGCAGTGGCTGATTATTGAATTTTCTCAAGGTCATTGTCAGGGTTATGAGAGCGACGACGCTGACCAAACAGCAAAGAATCTCCTGCCACCAACCCTCGATAACCCGCCGCAGGGTGTTTCCCCAGCGCACCCTACTTGGGACAATGGTTTCCGAGCACGTATTGACTTTCTCTGTGCTATATCCCTCAACGGCAAAGTCTTCCTGGTTCAAAGTCGCGCTGTGAATTTGGTCTTCAATGGGTACTACACCAATAGCGCTGGCGGATCGTTTTTGATCGAAAGCATTTGTAGGAGTGTTTGGGTCGTTTTCTTGGTCCAATAGAAGCGGCTCACTTGCAGGTTCAACTGACTTAGACTCAACGCTGGTGGGCCGAGCAACAGCATTGGCTGTGTTTACGGGCTTACGCCCGATAGGTAGGGTGCTGTTGCGTTCGGATGCCATATTGTTGTGATAAGAAGTACCCATGATAAAGAGTGTGGCAACGGACTTGGAGGAGTGGTAATGAGATGAGTAGGTATTCAGCTCTCAAGTCAAGCTCTCTTATATCAAAGTTAAACAAGCAGTTCCTATTTAGCCGAATTGCCTTCTTGCTTTTGTCTGGAGACTGAAACGCAATAACCAACACACCTTCCCTATACAGTCATTTCTAATTTAATTTCTCAGACCCAAAAACACTTCGCCGAAATATGCTTGTTTGTGGAGTAAGATAAAGATGTTTCAAAACCATGGGGCCTTGAAGCTAATACCGAACGCCAATGGATATCTAGCATTTTCGTTAGTAGCCGCCCCCAATTTAATCTCTTCGTTTTTATTTATTATCACCACCAGAAGTTTACCAGTACAGGTAAATTGTAGATTGCCCCTTCTCATCAAAGCTTGAGGTACTGTCATTAGGATGCCCCTGGACCAGTTGCTGGTACCCCTATCCTAAGTCTGTGCCACATTCTTGCATGTGTTGGCGACCAACACGCAGTAGCATCGGCGAAATGGTATTTCAACCCCAGCCAGCCAATCGGGGAACTCCAGGTGGGAATCAAAACAGAGACCATCAAGGCTACACCAGATCATGTGCATCTCCTCGTCATTCACGGGGCAACATAGAAAAGGCCCTGTCGGACCTTTAGATATTACGGCCCTCATTCTTTTGCTTCTGCAGTGAGCTGAATTGGCCGAGACAAGAATCTGCGGTTTGACTGCACTTCCCTTAACAGATCATGTGAAACAT